CACCTGGACACACACACCTGGACACACACACCTGGACACACTCACCTGGACACACACACCTGGACAGACTCACCTGGACAGACACTAGAGTATTTTGTCTCACTGATGATCAGATGTATTGTATAGCACTAATCTGCTGTAAGGACCTCTGGGTTGTTTACAGAGACGATCCAGAGCTTCCAGTCGTATATGAAGAGAAACCCAGATGTATTGAATCATGACTGATCTGTGTCTCCGTGTCTCCGTCCTCAGGCTGAATGGCGCGGTGCTGGTGGTTTCTGATCCACTGTCTCCTCCTCGCTTCATCCTTCGCTCACAATGACTTCTTCACCTCCATCGGTGAGTTTCTGTCCTGATACAATGAATCACTGACATGAAAACACACACGTCCCCTCTGCTCACATGGAGGAGGTGGAATTCACCATCTACATTGCAGCCAGCCACCAGGGGGCGATCAAGATGATAAGGTTTAACTTTCAGGAGGCGTCATGTCGTCCATCTTTATTTACAGTGTGATTTAATGCCATTACAGTTCAAGTGTGTGTGTGTGTGGTTTGTGTGTGTATGTGTGTGTGTGTGTGTGTGTGTGTGTGTGTGTGTGTGTGTGTTTCAGGTCAGATGACCGACCTGCTGTTCACAGAGAAGGACCTGGTCATGTCTCTGAAGGACTACATCCGAGCGGAGGAGAACAAACTGGAGAAAATAAAAAAGTGCGACATTTTATTTTATAGGCAACAACTTGGTTTAAGAAAAGTGATTTTCTTTAATTAAACTCCAGTGTGATGTCGAGCAACAATTAAAAGTTAGACTCTGAGTAAAGGAACCTTTTTGAATCAAAGAGTTTTTGTTCCTGGTTGAACCTGTTTCTGAAGAACTGTCTCAGTCTGGTACCAAACAAAACTCACGTTCAGGTTTGACTCAAACTTTATCAGCCCAAAGATTTAAAAATAGTCCCGTTGTGTTTGTGCTGCAGGTGAAAGACGAGTCATGTGTATCGTATCTAAAGCGTGTTGTCTGTCTGTGTGTGTCTGTGTGTAGATGGACTCATAAACTAGACGTCCTCTCAGCTGCTGCCACTCAGGACCCTGAGGGTTTCCTGGGACACCCGGTGAACGCCTTCAAGCTGATGAAGAGACTCAACACTGAGTGGGCGGAGCTGGAGAGTCTGGTGCTGACGGACGTGTCTGATGGTACACACACACACACACACACACACACACACACACAGACACACAGCGGGACAGCAGCAGCCTCAGTGTGTGTGTGTGTGTGTGTGTGTGTGTTGCAGCGTTCATCTCTAACCTCACCATCCAGAGGCAGCACTTCCCAAACGATGACGACCAGACGGGAGCCGCCAAAGCTCTGATGAGGCTTCAGGACACGTACCAGCTCGACACCGACACCATCTCCACCGGACAGCTGCCAGGTCGGCACCATGTTTCTATCCAAACCACCTGAGATCAAAGTCACTCGAGATGAGCTGAACAAAGGGAAAAAGTCTGAATTGATTTAACATCTTTTGATTGATTTCAATAACAAACGAGTGTCGACAATAAATAAAGAGAAAAACTAAACCATCAACACAATTTAACTTTCAGCTACAAAGTAAACAGTTTGACATAAAGTCGTAATATTCAAAGAGAAAATATGTGACCTTCAGAAGTGGATTTGATATTTTAACAGGAAGTAGTTTGACCTTGAGTTATCTCTGTTTACTCTTTGTACTTTAGTTAAAACTGGTGTCGGCCTCAGATCAGTGAGTTCAGGGAGTCGAGCTTTAGTGTTTCCAGCAGAAGTTTCCTGCTGTGGTCTAACGTCATCGGTCCATTTAAAAGTTCGACATATTTTCCTCCTCTCTCTGTTTCCTGCTCAGGCTCGTCCTCGGCCACTTCGCACCAGAGTCATCTGACGGTGGACGACTGCTACGACCTTGGGAAGGTGGCGTACTCGGAGGCGGACTATTACCACACGGAGGTTTGGATGATCCAGGCCCTGAAGCAGCTGGACCAGGGAGAGACGTCCAGGGCCGTGGACGCTGTCACCATCCTGGACTACCTGRGCTTCTCAGTGTACCAGCAGGGGGAGCTGGAGAGGGCGCTGGACTTCACAAAGAGGCTGCTTGAGCTCGGTCGGTAGCGACTCACATGACACCTTTCTGAAATATGTGTTTATATTGAGCTTCAGTCGTTTACGACCTCTGTGATGATTCTGTGTTTAGATGCGACGCACCAGCGAGCGAACGGGAACCTGAAGTACTTTGAGTACCAGCTGGCCAAGCAGAAGAAGATGGAGGAGGCCGAGGGGAGGGAGACGAGGGAGACGAGGGATCGACCTGACGATTACCTGCCGGAGAGGAAGAGCTACGAGCAGCTGTGTCGAGGCGAAGGCATCAGGATGGTGAGGAGAGAAAAAAACCATGAACACACGTTCTTCATCTTCACACTCAGTCTGATCATCTTTCTGTCAGACGCCGCGCAGGCAGAGCCGCCTCTTCTGCCGTTACTACGACAACAGCCGCCACCCGAGGTACGTAATTGGTCCGGTGAAGCAGGAAGACGAGTGGGACCGCCCCCGCATCGTACGCTATCATGACATCGTGTCGGACAAAGAGATGCAGAAGGTGAAGGAGCTGGCGAAACCCAGGGTGAGTGGAACTGAAGCTGCAGCGGTGAGCACAAAGAAACTCATCTGTGTCGAGTCGCTCTGAGTTTCCCTGTAACTCTCAGCCCATTGGCTCCACAGCTGCGTCGAGCGACCATCTCCAACCCCGTGACCGGCGTCCTGGAGACGGCCCACTACCGCATCAGTAAGAGGTAAGAGCTTCCGGAGGGGGAGACGACAGAAAACCCCTCTCCTAACCTGTCTCCCCCTCTCTATCTGTGTCTGTCTCTCTCTCTCTGTCTCTCTGTCTCTCTCTCTCTCTCTCT